AATCATCGTTTTCAGAACTGTCAGGTAAGCAGTGGACTCACCTTCTGATGAGTACTAATAGGAGCCATGATTGGACTATGGCCTGGTAAGGAGAAGTGGAGGAGCTCAATAAAGAACACCGAGCCATTCAACTCTTAAATTCAGGGCTCTGACCATCGGGCAGTAGTACTCGCAACTGTAAAGCTCCCGTCTTCGAAGAGCATAAGTCCACTACGGTCACACGTTACGACTTCAGTCGTCTCAAAACTGATCTAGGGAGTTACAGAATCAAGTATGGAGTTGAAGTTAGAATTAAGTATAGTGCACTCTTGAGTGGAGGAAACAAACTAGATCTAGGGTCCTACTTATGACGTCACACTAGTATGGAAAGTTATTGAAGCGTGTAAAGTATGCAAATAGGATGCATCTTCCACTAAACTTAGAAGCGGTTATGACGATCCAGACAACGGACCAAGAGTAGAGGAAGCATGAAGCAAATTGTTAGCTGCCAAGGAGACCTACCATCTGGATCCTTGTGAAGACAACAGACAGACAGTTGCGAGGAGGAAGATAGACACTCTCTCTGCATGCTACGTATTGTAGAGGAAAGAGCGGCTTAAACAGAAAATAAGTAAGCTGAAAACGCAGCGATATAGATCAAGAACAAAATGGGAGTCAGTGGGAGAAAAGAAGAAGCCAGGTGTTCGGTCGGTATTGTAGAAGGAGGTAGTAGAGAGGGTGATTGAGAGACTGGAAGAACTACTTACAAGTACTTGGACAAACTCCAGTAGTTCCAACGAAGAGTGGACATACCAGCCTTACATCCTCATCAATCATCAGTGTGGATAAGTTCTCCAACACCGAAACTGGAGGAGCTTACGAAATCGAGTAAAGAAGGAACGGCATTTGGAAGAGGATGGAGTTGCCCCTTGAAGTACTGAAGGAGGGTGATGTTGATGATTTGATCCTTGAACTTCTGCCAATAAAGCACTACTTGAGGCGATGTTCCTGACCAATGGAAGACCTTAACATCGTTCTGTTCCAAAGAAAGGAATTTGACCAAAAGTAGATAACTATGAGGTATTGCACTGACATCTATAGTGAGTTAAGACTCTCAATAAGATGATACTGAAAGGATCAAACCTGCCATGGAAGACATCTTTTTAAAAAACAATTATAAATGATCAATTCTGAACGGATTCAGAGAGAGTAGGGCAAAACTAGTCCTTAGTATTGCCTGAGAAGGGTATTCGAGGGAGCCCGGGATTAAAGATCTGACCGCAGGTATGATCTTCATTGATTTCAAGAAGGCATTCGGCAGCGTAAACCGTGGACTCCTCATGAAGATCCTCCTGGCATATGGAATTCCAAGGAGATTGTAGGCTTTGATACAAAGATGTATGCAGATACATTTGCTAGTGTGATTACCAATGATGGTCTGAGTGAAGCATTCTCAATTCTAGCAGGTGTTATGCAGGGAGACACTTTGGCGCCTTACCTATTCATAATCGTAATTGACTACATTATAGGTTGTCCCTAGAGGGTAGGACTTTGGGGTTTACTCTTCACCCTAGAAGAAGCTGTTCGCTATCGGCTGTCAAGGTCACTGATGCGGACTTGACTGACGACCTTGCTCTTATATACAGATAGTGTTGCGGAGGCACAAGATTTCCTCAGGAGTCTGGAAACTGGCGGCCAACTCAGTTGGGACTCCACTCTACGAGGGGAAAACTAAGTTTACATGGGAATCAACATAAGAGATGTTGTTAACCGGACTTTGGTTGCTGGGAGTGGGAAGAACATTGAGAAAGTCGATGACTTTGTATATTGTTGGGTGCAAGTAGAATGAAGAGTTCGGAGAAGGACTTCGAATTGAGGAAAAAGCTAAGGCATGGGGGAGCGTTGTCACCAGATGAAACTTGTATGGAAGTCGGATATTCGTAGAGATCTCAAGATACGAATAGATTGTTTGCAGGGACATAAGGAAATCGAGGCATGTGCGTGGATCGCGTTTTTTCCCATTCTTTGCGACAAATTTTATGTCGTCTGTTTGGCTCTACGCGATTTTGACCAAAAAATAATCGCGATTTCTTTTGTCCCTGATGGTTTGTACATTTTCTGTTTGTTTGGGACAGCTTTTGGTACACTGGTTAAATGTTTACTAAATTGGATTTTACATTAGAATTAGATATATATAGTATCTGTTAAGACATACCTCTATTTCCAAAAAATGAAAACGCTTGTACCGTAGCCACAAACAAAAAGTAAACTACTGGTAAGGCGTTCCTCAAGAAAAAGGAAAAACCCTCATATACTTATACCTAGCCTTGATGAGGGACCTGCTCGCGATTGCTATTCAGCATGTGTGCTCCACAAGTTATCACATACTGAGTTACAAATCAGTTGCAGTTTTTATAACTCCTAATTAAAATTTCTCGTTATCGGTCGAAAATTAACAAATACACGCATCAGCTATAAATAAGATCCATACACACATTTACATTCATAAGTTATTATATAGATATAAAAAACATCTGGATGGTTACGGGGGGGGGGGGGGGGGGGGGGGGGGGGGGGGGGGGGGGGGGGGGGGGGGGGGGGGGGGGGGAACAATTTTAAAAGTATATTAAAGTTTTCCCCCGGGCATTTTAATATATTTTAAAAACCCTACAATTAGAAATTTTATTCTCGTTAAGATTACTGAAAACTTTTTTTTCCTAAGATTCGAAAGATAACCTGTTTTAGGACTGTACATAATTTCCCCCAGATTGGTAAAAAAATTGGCGAGTATGGCTTTAAAAATATGCCCATATTTGGGCATCGCTTTTGCCCAAATTTGCTTTTCCCCAAAATTCGATAAAATTTCAATATTTTTTATGGATAACCTATGTGAAAGATATAACTGGGTGTTTGTTAAATAAGGGGAACTAAGTAAAAGACCCCCGAACAAAAGGGGAAATTGCACATAATCTCTTTTCGGAATACTACCAAAAAAGACTTCATTAAAATTGAAATAACCATCAGTTTTTTTTTTTTCAAGAATTTTTTGGGAATGATTAAAGTTTTGTTTCAAGTTATTTTGGGTAACATTTTCATGTAGGCCCCCAAGGATAGGGAATTTTAAAATATATTGTGGTATTTAAAGTATATTAAATTATACCCCCCGGGTCAAAATGGGAAAAATCCTACATTTTAAAATACTTTAATGGGGGTTTGCCCCCCCCCCTATCTTGGTTTTCAAAAAATTCATTTGGTTTTTTAAAAACAAAGTAACTGGAAAGTTAAAAATCAAGGATTTTTGTTTTTTTGTTCACTTTTCTATTTTAACACCTCACAAGACTTTTTGCCTTGTGATTTCATTTTAAACCCCCCCTTTGAAATTATTAAAATTAAAAGAAGTTACCGAAAGTCTACAGGAAAACTCCTGGTGATGGTACGTTCTCAAGATTACAAAACTGAAAAAAACACCACCAAATCGCCCTTTTTATTCGTTAGGGATTTCTCTAAAAAATTTCGGGCAAAAGGAAATTCTAATTTACCAAAGAACTACTTAAATGGTGCCAAAACAGAAAATTCTTTTCCCCCTTAAAGCTGTTTCTTCTTGGAACCAATCATCAAAAAATTTTTGTTCACTCTGCCTTCCTCTTTTTGTCCAAACGGGAAATGTTTTTTAAAGTAATAAAAACTAAATTCCAAATGCATTAATCTAACGACAAGTTTTTATGTTTAGATATGGTGGGGTCAAATCATAAGAAATTACTGCAATTGTCCTGATACATTGTTTAATAGAAGGATTATTCAGCTGATCGTATTCTCATCTTTTTGCTTCGTTAGTTCCATGTTCCTTCTCAGATCAGAGAAATTAATGAGAATGTTGGAGCAGGTGCATCGTCTTCAATTTTTCTCCCAATAACCTCTATATTTTTACATGGTTCTGTACCCCATTTAGCTTGCAACATGCTCTCTTGTACGTTATTGACCATTGGCTGGCATGGTAAGGGCCCAGTTGCAAGTGGCTCATTAGACTGTATGAGTCACCAACACTTGTTAACTTTTCTCATAATGTCAGGTGCTGTTGTAATCCCTCGTTTTGTAATGCAAGGTATGCGCTGCTCAGGAGTAGGGATATCTCTGCTGGGGTTCTCAGGATCTCTGTGTGCTCTGCTTATGTTTGAAATTGCCCAGAAACCAGAGAGCAGAGTTTCATTTATCTTCACACGGCCGGACCGACACTTTTCTGCAGGAGAGTGGGAAAACTTGTTGTGTGCTTTGAAACTGGTACTTTTAGCTCTGTCAAGATATCACAGAATTGATAGTTTTGGGCACCTGTTTGGTCTTGGTTTTTGGGTTCATGTATAGCAAAACTTTGGTATTAAAAGATGGAATGAAGAAATCAGAATAATGACAAAAACATTGTGATGATGAGTTAAACAGTAAGTGAAGGAGTGCAAGTGGAGGGTTGGCTTTGGTTAAGAATTTCATAAAAATTCTTTGTTATAAGAATTATTAATTTACAGAGGTTTACTGACAGAACGGACCTAAATTCTTAGTAGTTGGATCGAATTTAGACAGATTGGTACAGATCTGGTGTACTGCTTTAATAAAGTTTTAGTCAGGCATCATGGTTTGAATTCAATCGAGTGTGGCCTAGATTTGGTTTGTTATAGATTTGGTTTGTCCAGTTTAATAAGGATTGGTTGGGGCTATCTGTGCTGCAACACAACATAGTTTTCAAATTCGAAGATTTGGGTAATTTAGTTGTTTAAATATTGATATTTTTGATTGTGTACATTGTATCTTGAATTTTCTATTCCATTTAATTTTTGTATTGCTCCTCAAAAATTTGATGATTTGACATCTTGTATAAAATGTCTAAATTTACATCTCAATGAAATATTTGAGTGTTTTTAATGCAAAAAGATATCATGTTCATTGTACTTATAATAACATTGTTGATGATTAATTACGGTTGAGATGTGATCAAGAAGGCATCTACATCCTCTTCTCAATCAGGTAGGAATATGACTCAGTTTTTACTGCCAATTTACTTGCGTTATTTGCAACCACGTGACCCCCTACCTTATCTCCCACCCCCTCCACCAAAACATACGAATGAAGACTGCACTCTGACTGGTGTAGGTGTTTACAGTCACCTTTTTGAAGATCCAGTTGACACTCCTGAGGCTGTGAAGTGTCCTTCAAGGTTGGAACGTAAGAAGCAAAACGTTTGGAAAAAGAAGAATCTCAGAAGAACCGTGTTGAACAGGAACTTCTGAAATGGATCCCAAAACGATCCAAACGCTACTGGAGACGCTTTTAAACCGTTTTTGTATCGAGAATCAACTATGACACCAAGAGAGGATAAGCTGCAACGTGAATTTGAAGAGTTTGGTTATATCAGAAAAATACAATATGGTCCGTGATGTTAGGACAGGGAAACCGCGCGGTTACGCTTTTATTGAGTACGAGACTGAGAAGGGTATGAGGGCTGCTTACAAATATGGAGATGGTAAGAAGATTGACGGACGACGTGTCGAAGTGGATATTGAACGAGGACGGACTGTTAAGAATTGGAAGCCAAGAAGATTTGGGGGAGGTCTCTTGGTGGGTCACGGATTGGAGCCCAGAGTTCAACATTACTCACTCAGGAAGAGTTGATCCCAGACAATATCAAGAGAAGTTAGATAGAGCTAATAGGGCACGAGATAGAGCCCTCAATAACATTGATAATGAGAAGAGGGATCTCCGTCAGAGTCGAGGGAGATGTCTAGAGACACATCGGAAAGGCGCAGGTCAACTGAACGTGAGAGATCCTTCAAGGATGAAGATAAGAGGGAGAGAAAAGGAGGATAGAAGAATCACAAGAAGGGATGATCGTGGAGAGCGTGAAGATGATCGTGGTGATAGAAAGCGTGACAGGGACCGGCCAGAACGTGATGATGATCGAAGGAGAGATAGGGATGGAGACAGGAAGCGAGAGAGACGGGATGATGACAGAGACAGGGACAGGAAGAGGGATCGCAGAGACAGAGACGATCGACGGGGGGACAGAGACAGGATGGGAGACAGGGACAGGGATAGAGATCGTGGAGATCGGGAAGAGAGAGGGAGAAATATCCAGAGAGAGAGGGAGACAGAGAGAAAAGTAGAGAAAAGGAGGGAAGCAGAAGCAGAGAGATGAAGGAGGGAAGCAGAGAGATGAAGGAGGGAAGCAGAGAGATGAAGGAGGGCAGTAGAGAAAGGAAGGAGGAAAGTAGAGAAAGGAAGGAGGAGGTAGAGGAGGAGCGACCTAAAGAAGTTGAGGAAGTACCTGAAGAACCTAGTTATCCCCAGGAAGAGGCTCAAGTAGCATCTTAGTCTGGTTACAAGAGACACTGCAAGTGAGACTGGCTTGATATGACGTTTCTGGACCTATTTTAGCATCTTTTATGATCTAATGATCTGATTTAAACCCATTTATTACTGTTTCACATGGAACTAGAAAGAATTCCAGATTGGGCCGTTTTATATTCAAAGCTTCTCCGAAATTTTCATGTGTTACTGCTGAACTGATTTGCAAATTTGGGTCTTGATTTTTGTCTTGAGTTTAAATTGTTCAATCAATTTTTACTTACCATATTATATTGTACTCTAAAACAAAGAAAACGTTCTGACATTCAATAATTTTGTTTGAGTTGTTTTTACCCCATACTGTAATGTAAGATCCAAGAGTATTATCAGAAATAAATGCAACTGACTTTTTAAATTTAATATGTTCAATGCTCAACTCTCAGTTACTACTGTACTTTTAATTATCCAGCTATTTACAGGAAACAGAAACATCTCAGAACACAGCAATTTACCGAACTCTGTACTTCAAACTGTATCTGAACAGCTACAATATTATCAGCAGGAAAGAATGGTATGTTTTATAGCTTTATCTCTCGTTAACAGTACTGCATTTTATTTATATTGTTATTAAAGTAACACTCTAGGGCTACACAGTACACACCATGACCAGATAATAAAACTGATCACAGGGTTCCTGATTCTCGTTATTTCTCAAGATGAAGATCCGAAGTGCAAATAGAAACAAACAAGCTTAGAAGGAAAAAGAACCAGGTAGGTTTGATGTTAAAAATTCAATTTCCAATTTTCTATTTAATTTAAATTCAATCCAAAGATTATTGTCTTAGGGAGCCCTATACATTATCATGCATTAAAATCTGGCATTTGGGTACGCTCATTAAATTCTATGTACCTATCTAATAAAACAAGGACAAACAATAACCTACAAAGCAAGTACAGAAATATCCAATATCCATCCTGCCTAGGTGCCAAGTTCATACAATGATTACACTATAGTTAGTTGCCCTGGTAAGCCCACTCCATGTGATAATGTGATTACGCCACGTGATCAGTTAGTTGCCATGGTTAGCACACTCCACGTGACCACGTGATCTTTCTTGTGGCATCACCAAACATTCGATCTTTTTCCTGTTGCACACACACTCTTCACATCCGGCATCCGTCATCATGTACCATTCCTGTGAAACAACTTCATAATATAGTCATGTGACAGTGTGATGACGTCACGTGACAGTGTGATGACGTCACGTGACAGTGTGATGACATCACGTGACAGAGTGATGTCATCACTACATGGGAGGGGGGGGGGGTACCACTGTCCATTTTATCCCTGCACAAAAAAAAATGAAAAAAGACAAAAGGGACAAGAGGGACAAAAGGGACAAAAAAAGATAATAGGGACAAAAAAGACAAAAAAGACAAAAAAGACGGGGACAAAAAGTTTAAAATGGACAAAAAGACAGGGACAAAATAGACAAAATGGACAAAAAGGACAGGGACAAACGAGACAAATGTTCAGGAAAAAGAGGAGGAATAAGAAAATCTTGATTAGAGGACGCGGACGGGCATGCTTTTTCTCCTACTTCATAGGAAAAAGCGAATACCCATTAGCTCAATATTGTCGGCATATTGTTAATGGAAAAGTAATTGTGTGGGTCTGGGTATCTGCTTCTGGCCGCTATGAGCGTTATGATATTAAAAGATGATGACTTTTTTGATATCACCACTTGATTAATGGGATTAATGAAATATTGACTGAACCGTGTACACATTTATTTATGTGATGCCGTTGATGAATTCTGCTTATTTCAGTCCCTTCAGTGGTTTCAGTTGATTCTAAGTACAGCAAAACACTGACATGAAAATCTAAATTGTTGATGTCGAGTAGAATATATACATTCTCTACATTTGAGCTTGTCTAATTTTCTGTCTCATTTGTCCAAAATTTTTGTCCCTTTTGTCCCTTTTGTCCCTAGTATTGTCCATTTTGTCCCCAAAACACTGTCCTTCACAAAAAAATGTAAAAAAAGACAAAGACAAAATGGACAAAATGAACAGTGGTACCCCCCCCCCCCCCCCCCCCCCCCCCCCCCCCCCCTACATAAGAAAGAAATCTAACAAAACAAAAAAAATGTTGTGTTCAATACCATTATTAATGGACTAATGGACTAGTTTATGAGTAATATATTAAACTTAAATATTACTGTTTATGACGATGTATTAACGAAAATAAAGTGCACATTCATAGTTCCTTTACTTACGGACAAATGTTCGTGTGTTGTTTTTGTTCCGTCCAAGCTCTGTGTCTCACACATTGAGCATTCCTGAAAATATCTTATTTTTTATAGGGGAAGTGGGAACTTAGGTAGAATTGGCGGTTGATATCTCTGATAATAACAACAGAGGGCCTCACTGTATTTCCACTCAAAACTTTGAACATAGTTATAGTTTACCAGATGTATTTTTGACTGTAGAATCGATTAAAAGCGGTTCGGTAATGATTGGATTGATTTTTATGTGTATTTTGATCGGCTGAAAATATCGAAAATTTCTAAAAAACTGCTATTCTAAATCGATATGTTACTGTACCTTGGTTTGGACTGTGTCCCAGCAAGAAATCTCTCCGTTTCTACACTGACATTCCCTGCAATCCTCTTCAAATTGTTCGTAGTCTTCAAATGTTGTTCCCTCCCTTACACAGAAGGTACACGTCTGGAGGTTGGCTACATTTCAAGACAGCTGGTTTACAGTATATTATATAGTATATATATATTATACAGGGTGGGCCAAAAGTCAGTACCCATACGTTGGCCTTTATAGCTCAGTCACTGAGTGCCCAATTTAAATACTTCTTTCTGGTATGACTTAGTACCACCACTGGTTCGAGGAATTTGTCAACTCGAAAAATATTCGCGTTCATTTTTTTCAAATGGAGGTTCATTTTCACATTTATTTGATAGTTTGGATAGTCGGATCAAGCTAAATGTTATTGAATTGTGTTTGGCCATTCAAATTACGTTTGTCCTGAAAGAATTAGAACTGTGGCTTCTCAGATTACCGAGATATGAAGCATAACGAGTTTATTCATTACGTGTGATCAGGTGATTGGTTTACCTAATCACGTGATAAGGTGCCCCCGTTAACTACCCCGTTAAACATTATGAGAATTGTTAAGGGTGCCCAATTAAGGTGTCGTGTCACGGTGTCACATAATCACCCAGTCAATATTGTTAACGAGATACAGAAAATGCTTGATAACTTCGTCATTTCTAATCTGTTTTGCCTCATGTTTTCAGATCATATGCAACATTTGATAATCTACCGTCTCTGAAAAAATTAGGCGTTCAGCATGTTCAGAGAAAACAATATAGGTGTTTTAATATTGGATGGGCGTGGTCTAAAATATACGAATTTTCAAATTTTGAAGACGGAATCCTCGAACCAGTAAGTACAGTATGCCATCTGCAAAGCAACAGCTCTCAAATATAAAACACGGCGGAGCTATTAAGGCCAACGTATGGGTACTGACTTTTGGCCCACCCTGTATATATATATAGTTATATATAATAAATAGTTGTTGCTTGGTTTCCCAAAGAGAGTGCTCGACTGCAGTTAAGCAGGAGCATTATAATTCGAACAATTGAAACAAATCAAATTGGCGGGCAAACGATCCGTTTCATGATATGTATAAAACAAAACCAATCATCAGTGCCCATATATAGTTATATATATAGTTCACAAACCAGATCTTATGATTAAAACCGTAACTCAAATGAAAATAAAACAATGTTCCCACCCTCGACCCTCGCTATCCCTCCCCGAATTGTAGCAACAAACTCACCCCTGAGCAAGTAACAGTAGCACCAGCTTGGCACTGGCAAATAGAGCAACCATCAGAGAATGTTTCTTGGTATGAGTATTGTTTACTGTTGTGAATACAGCTCTGTGTGACCGCTGTGTTGTTAGATTGTACTAGTAACAGTAGTAGTAATACTTGAAACTTGCAAATATTCATTCTAATGGTAGACATTGATTGATTGGTTTATCTTAATGTAGAATACAAATCATTAAACCAACATTAATTAACTATTTAAACCAAAAGACGCTCTAAAAGAATAGTTGGTTGTGTCCCAACAAGAACTTAAAAACAAACAGAGTTAAGATGACCATGTCTGCTAGTTACTTGGTGTGTTAGTTATTAAAGTATTAAAGCAGCCAATGATAATTTGCATACTAATCACGTGACTTTAGTCGACCAATCAGATGTAATTATTAGTAGGAAATGGAGGGCCTCTTGGAATTCTGGGCAATTAATTAAACTTTCTAACTTAGTAAGTTTTGAAGTATGACATATGATCTGCTCTAGTTAAAAATTGTTTCTTGTTAATGCCGCTCCGGCAGGAATAAAGAACCTTCATTTAAGAAAATATAAATTTATATTTCTTTTTGCTAGCCCCTTCATCAACATTTGACATTCAGCATCCTTTATCTCAACTTACAAATTAAGAATTTGTCTGATTAAGGTTAGATAAAAACTCAACGAACACAACAGTTTTAAAGAATTTGGTACGGAATTTAATCCGCGTCTAACATCCGGTAGCACAACACTCCAAAACCGACCATTCCCGCCCTTTGCCATTCCTCGGTCACAATCTGGAAAGCTGTTTATTTAATTTCTGGAAAACGCGAAGCTACAATTTATGACCCTTCTCAAGCGCGCCTTTAATTAATTCGTTCGCGCGCGCCGCACGACAAGCTAAGACTTGCTAAGCTTATCACATTCACACAGCGGAAAATATTATGGCATTAATTGTGCAGCGTTTTTCGTTTTTGAGAGGGGGCGGGGGGAGGGGGGGGGGGGGGGGGGTTATAAATGATTACGCTAGTGTCATTTTGATACAATTCACTAAAGCAGTGTCAAAGAAAATTCTCCAAAAAGTAATCACGTAATAAGTGAACGACCCCTTGCCGTTGAACTATCGTTTTCTGCATGACGCCCAAAAAACTTTCACTTTTTTGCCACTCGATATCTTTGACAGTAATGTCCTGTGGTCAAGATCGAATTCCTAAATATGGGCTTCGCGTACTACGTCGCGCACTACTGTAATTACTGTAGTGTATGTGTACTTCAAGTGCAGTACTGCTAGTATATTGTATAGTGTAGGTCTACTGCAAACGCTTTTCTATACAATTATAAATGGATTATTTTTCTGGTACGGATCATTTGCTTAAAATAAAAACCGTTTTACATCAAAACAGACGATACAAATAAAATAACTTCAGAGTTTATCAGTCACCTTTAACTACCCTTTCCCTTCAGCTCGATCAGAGTCAGTCTTCTCTGATAAAGTGGTGGACAGAAAGATCAATAGCGCACAAACTGGATAATCCTCAACATAGTTCAGATTACATATCACTGATTTGGAGGAACTGTCAACTTATCGAGGCTAACTGATCCTACTGTTCCTTAGAATAGTGTTAATATTGTAACTGTGGTTACTTCAGATCTGAACTGTTAATATTTTAATAAACTTGAATAAGACAACTAATAGTTAAGTGTGAAAACTACCTCATTGGGTGGCCCTCTTACACCCTAATTTGTACAAAGTAATTCTACGGCAATGATTGTATTTATCGCTCAACAGTCAATACATAACACTGTTCTATTCGGCCAGATTCCTTAGTAACTCATGCCATGTTAAATTATTGTTTTTAATTTATTGTTTAAAGGATTTGAACTCGGAATTAGCGGTTTCCTTGGTTGCACGTTTTTCTGATTAATCGATGATTAGTTTATTAAAATGACTAATAATTTTATTATTTTCATCGAATGATTCGAAAGATTCATTAAAACACTGAGTTTAAGTTAAATCTCCATGTGACACAAAATACTGCTTCCTTTTAATTAACTGTTGCCCTGAACCGATGCCCTGAACATTACTGTTAATGATACATTGTTAATCTAATGAATGAATAGGTCTAACAAAGGGAGACTTGTAAATAGTGGTTTCTTGAGGTAGACACTGCAAATGGAAGGGGCTTAAATTCGATTAAAATCTTTTAAATGGAATTTTTTGTATAAACTTTAACAGAAATTATAAATTATAAATCAACTCTCGGATCATTGACACATATAACAGAGTGAATTGAAACAATCTCTCTATTACAGGACGTATCACAGTCGTCATAGTAACACGAAATACTCTTTCCTCTCAATGATTCATGACATACTATAAATATCAAAAAAATATCAATTAAGAATCGTAACAAATTTATAACATTTATGATTTTCCAGAAAATTAAACATTAGAATTTAAATCCTGCTCCTTTATCAACACAGAAACTACAAAACTACGGGAGCTGCATTTTAGTCACGTGACATTACAGCTCTCTGATTGGTCGGGAATCGGTCACGTGACACTAAAACAACATGAAAACTTATCAAGGGTAAAAATGTACAAAATGGTAAAATGAAAATATAAATCACTTAAATATATCACGGATTAAATTCACAAGTCTTGATCGTAACTTAAATATAAATCGAAATGAAACATGTTATGGTCCTGACAAGTTACTACCGTTTGTTGCTATTAGTTTCTATAGCAACACAGTTCTGACTCTTAAAGTTCAGTTCATCATTACACCACTGACATTGGAACGTCTTCCTAATCGCACAAGAAATTCGATGGATGATGTTGTGTTTCCATGTGTTACCATATGTTACCATGTGTTACCATGTGTTACCATGGCAACAGCATGATGTTCAGTCATAAACTGCACTGGGTATTAGTTACCATGACGTGTTACCATGGCAACATGAGTGTTACCATGGTAACACTCAGCAAGACTCGATGATCGTCAGTATATCCAGGCAGTCGATAGAGTTGCCAGTCATTGAAACTTCCATTATCTTCTTAATCAGCTTCTCCTCCTGAAACGGGACAAGGTTACAGTATACTAATGTAACAATGCTGAAGTTTTAAAGTATAGCAAACAGGGTACTAGTTTCTATTAACATTTATACTATTGTGGGAATGCAGTACTGCAGGAATGTTACTACTTTATTAAAGTGCCGTTGCTATTGCAACTTAAAAGTCCTGTTGCTATAGTAACTGAGAATAGAATCCCTTGACATTCTTTAACAACGACTAAATAATCTGCTACCAGAGCACTCAACAAGATTCTGTCAAAAATGTTGGAAAATATTCCAACTTTTTTCAGTTTCCGTAAAAATGAAAGAATGTATCATCTGTAACTCTTGTGTTGCTGTAGTAACTGCAGCAGTATGAGACCATTCTACTCTAGCTTAGCGACACACTCTAGCTTAGCAATGCCAATACTACTATTATAGCTTAGCAATACTACTATAGTTATACGTATTTGTAACTAGTTTTACTGCTACAGTAGTATCTCGCTACTATAACTATAAAGCGTCTTATAACAAAGTTTTACTTTTAAAACTAACAAGTTCAGCCAGGGCAATCTGCAATTGATCACAATTCACATGACGACATTTAGACAGCAAAGAGCACAACAAATGAGAGTATAAATACAAATAAATAAAAATGAAGATCAGGGTTCATATCTAATTATTACTACGGTTACTATAGTAGTTACTGTGGCAGATGGCTATCAATTATCATAGCAGTTACCATAGGCATAGTAATATTTAATTTACCTGTGAAGTAAGCTTAGCATGAGCATCTTCAATGATTGCCTTGTTCTCTTCAATAATTCGCTGTACTAACATATGATCCTCTTTCCCTGCGAGTAGTTTATTAACTATTACTTAGATTAGTTTAAAATAAAATCACGTACAAGGTTGGGAACTCAAAATAACAATTGTTGAGTTAGGATAAATGTTTGCATGGCTGATGGCAACATGATTGTGACCATGGCAACACGTGCGCGACTTCCACACTATAAGTATAATGTTAGCGACAAGAGAAACGCCATTGTTGGACGTATGTCACCTCGTGGCTTCGTTTTACTTTTATCCAGAATACAGTAGCCTTACTTTTCTTACTTTAACCTTAAATGGGCCCACATAAATGTAACCCTTGGTCTGTACTCTGTTCCCTTCTCGTGTCTAAAGTATACCGAGCACCTTAGGTGTTAGGACATGTGCGGCGACAGTACTGGGAAATAAGTACATGTACAGGGTGGGCCAAAAGTCAGTGTGCAAACGTTGGGTCTTTTACCCCCGCCGTGTTTTATATTTGAGGGTTGTTGCTTTGCAGATGGTTTACTGTACCTACTAGTACTGGTTCGAGGATTCCGTCACCAAAATTTGAAAATTCGAATATTTTAGACCACGCCCATTCAATATTAAAACACTTATATTGTTCTCCCCGAACATGCTAGATGTGATTATATGACACCGCGACACGACACCTTAATTGGGCAGCCTTCACGATTCCCATAATGTTTAACGGGGTGTTTAACGGGTTCACCTAATCACATGATCAGGTAAACCAATCACCTGATCACACGTAATGAATAACCTCGTTAAGATTCATATCTCGGTCATCTGAGAAGCTAGAACTCTCATTTTTTCAGGGCAAACGTAATTTAAATGGCCAAACACAATTCAATAAAATTTGGCTCGATCCGACTATCCAAACTATCAAATAAATGCGAAAATGAACCTTCTTTTGAAAAAATGAACACAAATATGTTTCGATTTGACAAATTTCTCGAACCAGTGGTGGTACTGGTAGTAAGTCATACCAGAACAAATTATTTCAATCGGGCACTCAGTGACTGAGCTATTAAGGCCAACGTTTGCACACTGACTTTTGGCCCACCCTGTATTAATATAGTGGAGCGATTTAGAATTGGAGATCTCTGATATGGGAGGGGGGGGGGGCGTACTGCTCTTAATTTACCGAATGTTCTAGAACACTGGAAATGTGATTTTAACCAAACAGTTTATCCCTCTCCAAGTTGTCCACGTCAGTAACGCTTCGAACTCCTTGTTACCCTAGTCACTTGACACATTTCTCGTACTAAACAAAATTACCCCCAACAGTCACGAGTAAAAACACACTTCATCACATACAGAAGGTATTGATACAAATAAGGAAACCTGGTAAAAGTGCGTTGTCATGGTAACTAACCTAGTATAGCTTCTAAATCGCGCTTTGCAGGTTTCGTCCTGAGAGAGCTCTCCCGTGACCTGGTGATACCTGGGGAAAAAAAGTACTAAAGTTACTATCGTCATTATTATTACTAAATATAGTTACTATCGTCATTATTATTACTAAATATAGTTACTATCGTCATTATAATTACTAAATATAGTTACTATCGTCATTATCATTACTAAATATAGTTACTATCGTCATTATCATTACTAAATATAGTTACTATCGTCATTATTATTACTAAATATAGTTACTATCGTCATTATTATTACTAAATATAGTTACTATCGTCATTAATATTACTAAATATAGTTACTATCGTCATTATTATTACTAAATATAGTTACTATCGTCATTAATATTACTAAATATAGTTACTATCGTCATTATTATTACTAAATATAGTTACTATCGTCATTATCATTACTAAATATAGTTACTATCGTCATTAATATTACTAAATATAGTTACTATCATCATTATTATTACTAAATATAGTTACTAAAGCTTTATAGGCTAATACATATACTATAGTTGCGATAGTTACGATATCTAGCAATAGTCCCAATAGTATAGGAATTGTAGTTACACATACTACAGTTAATTAAGATAATGTTTTTAATTTTACCATAGAGTTGAGTTACTATAGTTAATATAGTTACCATGGTTACTACAGCAATAGTTACCATGGTTAATGTAGCTACATTCTCAGAAGGAGGGTATGTGCTACGAGAGTTGTATTATGATTCACTGTGAGGTTAGTGTTGAGAGGAATGTAATATCTAATTTACACAGGCTAGTAGTAAGGCTTACTAAAGGTAAAGGAAGAATTGACCATGAACTGAACTGGGCACTTCGATACTCTGCTAGCTAAAATTGTCTAATGCTTGACAATATCAGTCAATATCTTCGGCTTTTATGTATTGATCAAGTACCGAACATGTCCTACAATCAATATTTTATATATAATAACATGTATGTTAAAATAGCTCGATTTAGCACAGTCGTCCTAATATCCCTCCGATTGGTTCAATGGTGCTACAAATGTTTGCAGCCCACATGGGGAGGGGGGCCGGCATTGTAGTCCAGCAATTTGGGAGAATGCGCTTTTTAACAAAATTATCTATTCTGATTAAGGTACAAATTTACGAGAATAAGTTATGACTGGTGGAAATAAATGTATGAGTCATTTATTAGTAGTTTAATACTTGAAAACTGTTCAAGCATTTTTCTTGAATGACCAATTAATGAGTTCAGGGGTCGTTCACATATTACGTAATCAATATTTTAGCAATTTTTACCCCCCCCCCCCCGTAATCAACCGTAAGCATTTGGAAACCCCCCCCCCCCACTCGGCTGATTACGTAATATGTGAACGACCCCTCACTGTGGAAAGTGTAGATGGCACAGCCACAAGACCTAGTATTGAGGTCTGAAAGTTAGATTACCAAAGAAAGTTTTGATAAACGGAAAATCATCAAAATAAAAAAAGAGATTTTGGATGATCTTTGAAGAGAAGCTTTTCTGCCTTTTCCTTAACCGAAATTTCACTGTTTGACTCAATTGTTGTTTTGCCTGTTATAGTATTAGTTGTTATCATATAAAATCTTTTTAATAAAATTTGTAAATGATAATTTTTATATGATTTTTATATTATTTCCTTTCAGTGGATAAAAACGCAGCTAAAATAAAACACGACAATTGAAATCAAAATGCTACGTAATGTTTATAATTATAGTTATACATGAAAATCATGAAATATTTAGCGCAATCATGATCATTATCCTTTCATTTTCAACATTTCATTTATTTATTTCAAATCTTATTAAAAATGCCTCTAATCTTAATTTTATTCCATGCTATAACAGAAGTCCGATAAAGAATTAAACCAAAGAAGATAAATTATTTTAACAAATCATGTTTGCACTAATTAAACCACTGTTAGCTCCGGGACCGTTTTGTCCTCCAGCCTTCGTCTTCAGCCAGCAGTGGTTGTCAGACTTTCTTATAGTGAAGGAGACGCAGTCAGCAGCGTCAAAGCAGCTCGTGTGACAATCCACATATCCAGTAGATCGGAAGTTTCTCAAATCTGCACCCCCGAAGTCAAAACCTTTCATGGCACATTTATTGAAATGTCCTGTGTTGTCAAATTCAGGGGAGCAGTCGATATTCATGCTGACTAAATCAACATTTGGCGATGGTCCGCTCTGTCCACCTCTCTTCCTCTTCAACCAGCAGTGGTTGTCAGATTTTTTAAGTGTGAAGGACTGACAATCCTGAGCCATCCTGCAGGAACGAGCACACTGATCAAAGCTGGCGGCTTTGAAGTTTCTCAAGTCCGCTCCCCCGAAGTCTTTGCCGTCTCTTGAACAGTCTTTGTTAAGCTCCTGAGTTTCACACTCCATGTTCCTACTGATCAGGGCGTTGTTTGGAGAGGGTCCAGTCTCTCCTCCTCTCTTCCTCTTCAACCAGCAGTAGTTGTCTGACTTCTTCAGAGTGTATGATTGGCAATCAGCTGCATCACTACACGCTATGGCACAGACCTCATAGCTCTCAGCTCTGAAGCTCCTCAAATCTGCACCCCCGAAGTCAAAACCGTCCATGGCACATGATCTGTCGGAAGCTACAAAGCCTGGTTTTGGAGCACAGTCGATGTTCATACTGATTAAATCATCAGCGGGTGAGGGTCCAGTCTGTCCTCCTCGCTTGTTCTTTAGCCAGCAGTAGTTGTCAGATTTCTTGAGGGTGAAGGACTGACAGTCTGCTGTGTCTCGGCAGTGGCTAGCACAGTCCTCGAAGCTTTCTGATCTAAAGCTTTTGAGGTCTGCTCCCCCGAAGTCAAAGTTGTCTCTTTTGCAACTACTGTCTGGGAGTGGTTCTGGTTGTGGTTCTGGTTGTGGTTCTGGTTGTGGTTCTGGCTGTGGTTCTGGCTGTGGTTCTGGTTGTGGTTCTGGATGCGGTTCTGGTTGTGGTTCCGGCTCTGGCTCTGGTTCAACTTTTTTGTCGCAAGAGTAGTCACATTTCTTTAACTGTTTCTCGATCCTTCTGCATTTCCTCATATCCTTTTTATTAAGTTCCCCATCTCCAGAGATACACCCTGCTGTTGATTTGTATCCCTCTTTTAGACACGACTCAAACGTCAAGACGTTCTTGGCGCATTTCGCTGCAGCTCTTCTTCTCTTTTTGTCTCCTTTTGCTCCTTCAACGAGTCCAAGGACGGCTACGATAGCCACTAGAAAAACGAAAAGTCTCGCCATTGTGCTGAACTAAGGCTGAACTGGATCAAACGTGAGGTACGGACCACAGGACCGTCCTTTAAATACCGTAGTCATGCTCCGTCACTCCACACACATGAAAAACAGTCTCCTTACCCATTAATCTCTAGCTATGTTATAAAAACACGTGATTCGATCACGTGATGTTATCTCATTGTAAACATGGTTTATTTGTTCCATTCTGGCGAGGTTAGTTAATGGTGATGTCCCTGACCAATGGAAGCACTTAAACATCGTGCCTGTTCTAAAAAAAAGGGAATTTGACCAAAGTAGATAACTATAGAGGTATTGCACTGACATCAGCTATAGTGAGTAAGACTCTCAATAAGATGATACTGAACAGGATCAAGCCTGCCATGGAAGACATCTTAAGGATCAATCAGAACGGATTTAGGGAGAGTAGGTCAACAACTAGCCATATTCTTGGTCTAAGAAGGGTATTCGAGGGAGCCCGGGATAAAGATCTGACTGCGGTAATGCTAGTAGTAGAGGAAAGCCCTTTATAGATAGTATCTTTTAGAAACTATACAGCAACCCTTTTTGAATAGTTTTCTCATTCTAATGTTTCTCTAACCTAATCCAAGCTCTCAGTAAATATAGAACATTTTAAAAGTTATCTGAAAAATACGGAGTTGACTCATTATATTCGAATGTAAACTGAATCGGAGCCACATAACTGAACAGAAGCAAGCTCTAAAAATATGCCAGCTACAGCTCAGCAGTATCATATACAGTATGGTTTAAAGTACTATCTAAAGATTTGGAGTAGTATCATAAGCTCTTAAAGGTGGGGGTTAATACTACCTTCCTAATTACCACTTTTTCAGGTAGCTAATTACCTTGTTTGTTAACAATAGTAATTTAAGAATACTACCATCGAGAAGTTCTAAGGGAGGAGATGCAAGGACCACATGGAAGATTAAAGTGTGAAAAGGTCACCAATTAGATATCGTTCACGTTAATTGCAGTAAACAGCAGAACTGTTTGATTATGATAAAAGTAAATGATTCTACAATAAGTATGTTATAGCAATTAACATGAACAATGATTCGTATCGATATCAGATTGGGTGCCTTTTCACACTTTAATCTTCCATGTGGTCCTTGCATCTCCTCCCTTAGAACTTCTCGATGGTAGTATTCTTAAATTAATATTGTTAACAAACAAGGTAATTAGCTACCTAACCTGAAAAAGTGGTAATTAAGAAGGTAGTGTTAACCCCCACCTTTAAGAGCTTATGATACTACTCCAAATCTTTAGATAGTACTTTAAACCATACTGTATATGATACTGCTGAGCTGTTATAGCTGGCACATATTTAGAGCTTGCTTCTGTTCAGTTATGTGGCTCCGATTCAGTTTACATTCGAATATAATGAGTCAACTCCATGTTTTTCAGATAACTTTAAAAATGTTCTATATTTACTGTGAGCTTGGATTAGGTTAGAAAAACATTAGAATGAGAAAACTATTCAAAAAGATACTACCTATAAAGGGCTTTCCTCTACTACTTAGGGACTTTGGATATACTTTACACCCTAGAAGAAGCCGACGCCATCCGGCTGTCAAGGTCACTGATGCAGATTTTGCTGACGACCTTGATCTTATAACATATTATAGTGTTGCGGAGGCACAAGATTTCCTCTGAAGTCTGGAACTGGCCGCCAACTCAGTTGAACCCCTTCAAGGACATCGTCGAAGGGGAAGACCACACCTCACATATATCAACATCCTTCGGAGGGACACAAGGACAAAAGAAAATCGCGAT